CTCTCTCTCTCTCTCTCTCTCTCTCTCTCTCTCTCTCTCTCTCTCTCTGACACAGAAGAGGATGTGCAACAACGAGACAAAACAACGAAACATGCTTTGCTACTTACTATTAAAGCGAGCAGAAACAAGATGACGAATGCTAATCAAAACATTGTCATGATCGCTCTGTTTGTTTTTGAAATGTACACAGTAATCAGAAAGCACCGTCCCAAGGTGAAGGGGGTAACCCGATAACTTCGCGACGAACGTGCATCCGCCATATCTGAAAGGTGTTCAACATTTTTAAAAGAGGCGAAACAAAAAAACGGAATAAAAAAATTGACAGTGGCCCAAGGGTGGGTGACTGTGGAAGGCCTTTCATGTCTTTATGAACTTTAAACTCACATCGAGCGAGGGCATGCCCGGCCGCGGTGGCCGAAAGAACATCACGACAAGAGATGGGTGTGGTGGATGAGGGCGGATTATCGAGTGACGATGCAGTGAATCTCGTCAGTGATGAGAGTGAGCACGTTGAGGCCTCCGACAATGTGGAAGGGGAGGGTAGGACATTTGAATAACAGCAACCTTAACCTGTAGAGTCTTTTGACAGCTCCCGCAAGCTTGCAGCATTGATTTTCTCCGCCAGGGGCGGCGTCGGTATGTCACAGAATGACATCGATGCTCTCTTGTCACTTCTCACACACCCGAGATTCAACACGAGAGACATCGCATATCGTAATAGTCGAGAGTGTTTGACATGGGCAGACAGTTAAGCAGAGGCTGCGTGATCTAAGTTGTGATGACTGGCCACAAGATGCGCACGGCATTTTGTGGCACCGCGACTGGCGAACGACCTTTGAGACGAAAGTCGCATCACAGAAACATGAGACAATGTCGTCTCTAGAAATGTATCCTCCATCGGAGCACCTAAATATATATGGCCCACACATTGGGGGGCTAAGTTATTACGTCCAGACAATTATCAGAGCGGACAAAGGTGTGGATAGGAATGGTAATCCAAATTACAGCATCTCTCTGTCACTGTATTTTGATACGACACATATAGATAGTCGTCAAAAACAGACAGCATATCCTCTAATGATGTCACTAGCAGATCACACGTCCGAAGTGGCACTGTTGGCCTATCTTCCTGTGCTTCATCATCGCCCACGTGACAAAGGATAGGGTTTGCAGTCCACCGAATTCAGAAAACGAAAGGCCGTCGTTTTGCACAAGGCCCTCACGCTGGTGTTGCAGTCTGCGAAGGAGGCATCTCATGACGGTATAATGATAACAACAGAGCAATTCGGGGAGATAATTGTCCACCCTTTCCTCGTGAACTATATACATGACTATCATGAAAGATGTATCATTGAAACTTTGAAATTTGGTGTACATCCAACGTGCACCGTGTCGAAAGACGACTTTGATGTCATCGCCGATTTCATGAACTGCAGGAGATCGCGTACATTAGAAAAACAACTCGCATCAGATGTGTTGAACTTCGATAACATCGACATTCGCCGTGCCGCAGAAGCACGAATGTCAGAGTTGAACATGCACAAGCATGTTCAACAGAACGGTCTTTGGAGATTCTACAGGGGCCCCAATAATAACGATCCTCAGCTAGACTACCACCAGGCATTGAAACAAAGTTGTGTTTTTAGTACTAGCTGAACGGTCCGTATGCACACAATCGAGCATGGCATATTCTTGCACATAATTGACACATTCAGGACCGCAGTTTTTTAGAAGCTGTCACACTTACCACCGACAAAGATCCTGAAGGAACTGGATGCAAGGTTGCAAAGCGTTAGTGAGAGATGCACCCGAACATACCCCCAACTTGTGCTGCCCGTAGCCACTGGCAGCGACTTTTTTTCGAAGGAGGGACGGTTTGAGGCCAAGCAAAATCAGTTTGTCATGACGGTGTGCATTATTTCGAATATTATCCCACCGCTCGACGGGCAAGGGCATTACCTGTGTAGCACACCGAACATGTTCGGAGCTTTTCCGAACGTCCGAACGCCACCTGAACGTGTTCGGCCAAACATATTAAAAACAAAAAAAAAAAAGAACTTTTTTTTTTGTTTTTGATTTTTAACTCGAGTTTGGTTACGAATTTGACCATACCTCCAAGGCAAAAGTTGTTTGTATTATTATTTTACTATGTAGAAAATCCGGATATCCGGCAGGCCATTTTATCCGGAATTTTTAATCCGAATAAAAATTCCGGATTAATTCCGGATATGGAAAAATCCGGCCCTGCGCAAAACATTTTTTTTTACCGAAAAAAAAAAATAATTCAAAAAATTCGGGAAAAAACATATGTTGTTCACATCAACGGTATGAACAACTTTTTGGCTTGAGGCCATTGTTGATATCTCAACAGATAAAAAGATAAAAATATAAAACAAAAAAAGAAAATAATATTTGGATAAAAAATTATAAAACGAATCAAGCATCCCCCCTCTAAACCCCTTCATTCCCTATCTTACCCCCTTAAACCCTTCCATGACTTATGAAGCTTTTTATGAAATAGGAACGTAGTTCTATTGTATTTTGCACGCGCAATATTTCTTTTTTTTTTTTGCTTTTTTTTGGCCATTTTTTTAATCATCCGGATTTTCGGATAATCCTAGCCCCCGATAATCCGGCCAGATAATACGACCAGATTATCCGGCCAGGTATGCCGTGCTACATAGTCATTTTACATAACATATATTGTTTTCAGATTTTTTGGAGAACTTTTTTTTTTTTTTTTTTAATATTTTTATGTTCGCGTTCGAAGAGTTTCGACGCTCGTTCGCGTTCGGTCCCGAACGTTCGGGTTCGGTCACCGAACCCGAACACGATGCTACATAGGGCATTACTATGTGTTTTGTGAAACTCGTGGAAATGTACAT